TCAATTTATTGCTTTGCTCCGACTGATTGAGCCACAGAAATAATTTATACAACGAAGTGATCATCTTTGTACAAACATCATGCAACAAACACTGATTTCTTGAGTACTGGCCACAATCACTTGTGATCATAATTGCTTCATTTAACGCTGAAATTGTTTGTTGCTTAGCTCGTATGATAATCCCTCGTCTTCTTCCTCATTTTTATAAGGAATCTAGAAAACAAACGAAGTGAGGGCTAATAAAGCAAAATACCAAAGTTTCCTACCTTCAATTTTGACATCGCGATTCGGCTAATTACAGAAGTAGGCCAATTGGCGGTAGCCCTTATATTAGCTGGCCAATCCTGTGGCATTGGTGGAACATAGTCGTAAAAAGGCGCAGAAGGCCTATATGAAGCACCATAGGTTGACCCTGAAGATGATTTTTGGTCTGTGGTTACGGAGTTTTAAAAACTGGGATATGATTACAGATGGGGCAGCAATAGTACGGTCCAACATCCACGGAACTAGTAGCATAGCAGTAGGACTGGGGAGGACATTGAGGCCATGGGCGCTTAGGATCACATTGAATATTTAATGATGGGCCTCCTGGACATTGCCCTGCTCCTGAAAGGAATTTGCAAGGATAATGGTGGTTACTTCAGCATTTCTACAAATTATTGACATATTATTATTAAAGTTTGATCTTACGGAAATGTAAAGTTCACCCTACCTGGTTGTGGAGACTGTGAGGCAACCAGAGCCAAAGAGGTTACACAGAGTAAGACAGAAAGTAAATCTGAAAGCATTGCTAAGGTTTCAAGTGCTGACAGCAGAGCTGCGGACTGCTTTAAATACTGCGCAAGTGCGGAAGGTGGAGCCAGCCTAGAAATAAAGAAAAAGAAAGGCTGCGAAACAGTGACAGTGAGCGTGAACAAGATTTATGTGAGAGCTCATGTTTGAAACGATGAAGCTCAACACTGATGGCCAGCAGTTTCGTAACTACTTGTTTGAAAAGAATCTAGCGCAAGACTACCAGTGTCTAATAGTTGTAGAGAATATGTTCTACTTTATTGTTTCTACCATTTGTGACCACTACAAATTTACTATTGGTAAGCCATGAACACAAAAAAGGTCAACAAACAAATGAGCACGTTTGAATTGGTCATGCTCTTAAAGAGTGTTGCTTTCTTAATGTATTATTTCATTTTTTCAAGGGTTCAATTTGACAGGCTTTTTGAGTGCTTAAAACATGATGTGCATTACAATTTATCACTCTTTCCCTCCAAGGTTTTAAAAAGAGACAATATTTAAAAGTAGCTAATGAGGGTTCTCCATTATTATTCAAGCTATTAGATTGTTGATATTTGTAATTGGTTTTATGGATGAGTTGTTATGACAACCTTCCTTGAAGAGA